ACCCCTGGCTTTGAGCTGTTTGAGATGCTCTTATTCAATAGCAGGTTTGTGGGTTTTGTTTTCCTTTCCACTTCGTTTTAAATTAATGAGTTGCGCGTCGAAGGCTGAACTTGAACACGGGAATGGCTTTTAAAAATGATCTCTGTCACTTTTGTCATTTGGTAAAATAAGCTTAAATGAACAGAAGACTGAGGGTTAAGGAAAATGTCAGAAATGTAAGCTTATATTTGTGCACGATGTAGTCGTTCCTTCGAGCTTTTCTGAAATTCTTTAATTTTAGTTTATTTATTTATCAGATACTACCTATATTTGATTTAACTTCCTTTATTAAAGCTCGTATGCAAGACTTCACTTAAAACAGAAATTTGTTAAAACTCTCATTTACAAGTTTTGTTCGCCGAAAACATTTAAATAATTTTCTCGAAAGGTCCGGCGATACAGACCAGTTTGTTGTTTTGTTTGGTCCGTCTTCCAATGCTAAGTGCCTTTGTTCAACCAGCCGATTCAACTCCTGCTCGCTTAAATTAATAGCAAATCTCTTAGTTGTAGGCCCAGGCAAAAATCTTGAGCTCGAAATCTCACAGGAATAATCTTCCTCATTATTAAATTTTTCCTTATTTTAGGAGAAGAAAAATAGGAATTATGTTTTAAAAAGTGTCAACATCGATGAAAAAAACTGCCCAGAAAAAGTACAAATAAACAAACTGACGTGAGCGTGCAACCCACGGGCAAATGGATGGAGCGTATTAGCCAATCAGAACTCGCGCTTCGCTAAGGCTATGTTATAAAACAATGTGAAATGACTAAATTCTTCGTAGTCTGATGAACGAGGACGACTGCGGCTAATTGTTTGTATTTCCCTTTGGAATTGAACGCTGTGATTACTTATTTAGCCTGAGCACGTTTTTAGAGCCAATAACGAATTCGTGGGTAAAATGTAAATTCATTCAGTTTTGACGAGGCGTCGTCCTTACCTTTGCCCGTCGACGCAGCAGAACACATGCAGTTTCTAAATTTAGCCACGATAGATCATTCTTTCCAAAGTTGACTAGCCGATGATATCGATGACTTCAATGAGTAATTAATAAGTAATCGATGGGTAATCAGTCGATTACCTTATTTTCACCTAAATCGGTCTTCACTTGAATGTCGAAAATTACCTTAAGCCTCTTTCTCAAAGCGAGTCTTCATAGGAAAATATCTCATCCTTTCATATGAAAATGAAATTTCATTCACATGCAAATTAAATCATTTTCATATGAATGGTTGCGCACCAGGCTTCGCTTTGACAGATCAAGAAGATTAGGTCAACTCCAAAATGGGCTATTGGTTTTGCATTATTACGCTACAAAACTCGCGCCACTTTTTGACCAATCAGAAGTAAAACCAATCAAATTGGCTCGCTCGCGTTTACCCGCGGCTTTGCGTTGGCTACATGTATTAACTATGGGTTTTGATTGGATGGTTCACTGTATTACCTGTATCTTTTGTGACTGGCGAGAGTAATTACTTTGGCTTGGGTTTTAGGACACTCAATTGAAAACCGCGCTGTTTTCGCGGTAACTTCATTTCGCAACAAATGAAAGAAGCATGTATCGCGACACTTAAATTTCGCGATTTGGCAGAAAAATCGCGTTTAAAGCAACTACATATACAAACAAATAGGTATTACCGGGGAGTTTAAGAAAACCACAACGGCAACTGCAAAGGAAAGGTCGCTGAACAAACCTAAAACTAAATGACTTTAGAGTATTGCACGATTCGTACTAAGGTAAAATATAAATTCATTTTTTAATCGACGTTGTCCTCGGCACAGCCGTAGTGATTACGTATTAATTCCCCAATGTCGGTGTCAGAATCTAAGCTGCCGCAAACGACCTAGCCTCGGACAGTCTATTGTCTGAGAATTGAAACTGTGCTGACAAATTTATCCCATACAGTTCCATGCTCGACATTAATTTCATTGATTGGTTATATGACTCTTTCCATTTTTCAAAAATACACTACTTTCAGTTCGTGACACGACATGTATGTACAGTTTCTTACGTTCAACGAGCATCGTCGTTGTCGTACTCGATCTACAGAGATGTCTTTTTGTAGCTGCACAGGGATGAATGCTGTTTAGATTATGGTCAAGGGATCTTAAAAAAAACTTGACTTTGAATACTGATGATCTTCAGAAACGCTCTCCAAATGTATCCCGCGCTGGTTACCTGGCCGAAGCTTTATAAATAACGTGCTCGAAATGTAGCGAAATGCTCACTAGGTTTGCGCTTTTTGTTTTCAAAGGCTACACTCTAACTGACCTAATTTCCTACTTGAAAAAATACAGCACAACTGAAGAAAATTCCCATTTTCAACCTTCTTTATTTTTAAACCTTCACTTGGTTATTACAAAGGACCGTGATGCAAATACATTACTACAAGTTTGCGCGCGGCAGAGACGCTCATCACACCTGTTTAACACGTTTTCCCCATCCTGGTTGTGACGTGTTGCTTGTTTAAGCATATTGAAAGTTGTAAATCATTTAGTATTTTCTTCTCTGTTGTTTAGGACTGTTTAGCTTACATTCCTTGATGTTTTGATAATTGAAAGGCAGAACACTCCCCAATGTATTTTGCGCATTGTTTGCCTCCGAACGTAATTGCGTAAATTTTCGCCGCTGACATGGCTAGGTTAGGGGACAGACCAATTCCAAAGACAAATCTTGGACATTTCATCCCGCGAGGGACATTCACTGTTGGACACTTGGAGTAATAACTCATTTTCGCTAGTTTCCAGCCCTGCTTAGCAGCCAGCTGAGCAAGCTGTTTATATACTGCTTTATCGATGGCCTCAGTCTCCTTAGGGATTAACACTGACAGCAACAGGAAGATAAAGCAGCAACAAGGAATGAGTTTCATCGTGATTCGGAGGTTTGTAATGTACCTGTTAAAAAGAATTAAGAAAAACAGCTCACTCTAAAGACATTTACTTATGAGAACAATTAATTTCACCTATCAAAGGCCACTTCACTTAACGAAAGAATTTAATTATCGTAATGCTAGCAAAAATACTGAGGCGTCGTTTTCTGTTTCATCAGAAAGATATAGGGATACAGGTTTATTTTGTCAATATGCTTTAGCTAGAAGAGTGAGCCGTCACAGACTATACTTAAAAGATCAAAAGGCTGCGACAGTTCAGCAGCTAATTTACAGGTATTACATCATCACACAGACATCACTTTTCAAAATTCCCTGAATATTCCCCACGAAATGTCAGATACAGAATCTGGATCCAGCCTTTCTGGCAGCCGTCCTTCCCAATAATAAACTCCATATGTACAGCCTAATAAAATTGCAACAAAACTGAAGCACATAACATTAAAGTTTGGAGGGAAACGGTGTCATTTCAGGAGAAACCGGGCCATTTCAATCCCCTCAGATTTTCTTAAAAGAATTGTCACCTCAAACTTTCGTGATACGAGAAATTTTTCTGGCCTGTTGTTTTCGGATTGATAAATATGCCGTTTTAGGTATCAAAAAAAAAAGGGTCAGTTATGATTTTCGGATTTGAAAGGCAGTAAGACCTACGGTTTTCGGGAAATGAACAAAAGAGCGCTAATGAATTTTGAAGACTCAAGTTCCCCTAGAATTACCGACCAGATAAATATTTTAAAGCTGAAAAAAGCTAAAGAAGCTAAAATTAACCTACATAGCTTTAAAAACACAACAGATAGCCTAAACAGCGTTTTAAAGCATTTGAGAGAAAACCGTGCCGCGGCAGTGGCTGTGCCCTGAGAAATGGAACGGATCAAGCGATGAAATGCTGAGAGAAACTTACCAGGAGTGAATCTTGGCTCAAGATCAGCGCTCTTAGTGATTCTAACCAGTGAAGTGGATACAAGTCCTTGCCACTGAACTAAAAGGCAAATTGAGAACATCATTATCAGTGAAGACTGCCGTTCATTGGAAAATGAGCTACCAAAGGGCTTCACCAGTGTGACTTTAACTTTTGAGTTGTCCCTATCAATTGTAAGGTAGAAAGTATAAAAAATCTAATCCAGCTCTTCGAGCTTCTTCGAGAACAAAAGAATGCAAGTAACGTAAAAGACAACTGGAATTCCCCGTGATATTTCGTTACAAAGCGGCTAAACATTACCTTCGCACGGCAACGCAGTAGAATACTGGTTCTCAAATTAGAAACGATAGATCCTTCTTTACAAACGTGACTAATCGATGACATCAATGACTCCGATGAGATCAATCACAATAAAATATTTAAGATAGTGCGCGCGCTCTCATTGGTCGATAGGTGTTTTAACATGAGATTATGTGAACATGGTTGTATTTCTACGTTTCGAGAAATACTTTATAGATGCAATAGTACAGTGGACGTTTTTCCATGTTTACATAGCCTCATCTAAACAATCGGGGAAATTGGGAGAATTCTCGATAATTATGCAAACCCCCGACCGCGACTCGGCTAATATTCTCTAAGCCTCCCTCGTGTTTAGATGAGGCTATGTAAACACGGTACAATCCTCGATTGCTTAAGTAATCAATGGTTAATCGATGGGTAACCAGCTGATTATCTCATTCCCACTTATTTTCGCGTAAGTAATTTCGCAAATAAAGAAGAAGCGATTTCGCGATTTGGCAGAAAAATCACGTTGTGGGGACTAAATTCCCCTAAAATTTGCCAAACGTTGTTCTGCATCAACACTTTAAAG